TACTCGTCCTGACATAGCTTTTATAGTGGGAGTTTTGGGCAGATACCTAAGTAACCCGGGAATGGATCATTGGAGAGCAGCCAAACGGGTCATGCGGTACTTAAAGAAAACAAGAGAKTACATGCTCACATACAGGAAATYARACAAACTAGAGATCATTGGGTTTTCTGACTCTGATTTTGGTGGATGCCAAGACACTGGACGATCTACATCGGGCTATGTTTTTATGCTGGCTGGAGGAGCCATTTCCTGGAAAAGTGTCAAACAAACACTTGTAGCTTCTTCAACCATGGCAGCAGAATTCATAGCTTGTTACGAGGCATCCAATCATGGAATATGGTTGCGAAATTTTGTCACGGGGCTGCGTATAATTGAGGGCATTGAAAGACCTTTGAAGTTATTCTGTGACAATAATTCGGCTGTGCTATATTCAAATAACAACAGAAGCTCTATAAAGTCGAAACATATAGATATAAAGTTTCTGGTTGTTAAAGAAAGAATCCAGAATGGTCAAATTATGATAGAACRCATCGGGACAAACTCAATGCTTGCGGATCCACTAACCAAAGCCTTGGTGYCCAAGGTTTTTCATGAGCATACTGCTAGCATGGGTGTTGTTTTGGATGACACTAAAGTTTAGTGGGAGTTTGTATTGATGTTTTAAGTTATTAACAATAATTTGTTTATTTTCTGCAGACTTTAGTTTATGGAAATTTTTTGATCATTCCTGAATATATGTAATTTTCTAATTTTTGTCTTATGTTTGGAATATTATATATATTGATCTCATAAGGACTAAAGTTGAACCAGTTGGAAATAGGCATGATTGTAATCACATTGCATGTAATTTCCATGACACTCATCCATGCTTGATCTATGTCATTAGATATGTTGGTATGGTGACCATGGAAGGTTAAATTACATTATTGAAGTGACAAAAGCCGCCATGATCTCATAAAAGGGGTTCTAATTAAATAAATAGCATAAAGTTGCGCACTAAGGAAATTTAAATATAATTGATCAAGAATAACATGTAGTCCAAGTGGGAGATTGTTGAAATTTATTTATAAATCCAATAATAATTATGAGCTTACATATTATTATATAATTATATTACACTATTTAAGTAATGAGCTAATTATGTGATTAATTAAACATAGCCCATTAGAACCCAATTTGGTATGGACTTAATGAGAGGAAGCCCATTAGGTTATAATTAGGGTTTAATGGGAACTCTAATTACAACTCTATATAAAAACGACTAGGGTTATGGTTCCCACACACCAAAATCAATACGTTCATTCTCTCCCCATTGGAAGGACATCAAGGATTTTGCGTTGAGAAAAGCTATAATCTCGGATCTACGTTTCATACTCAAGCCTAACTAATGGAGACGGATACGTGTATTCTTATTCGTATGTTCTTAATAATTCATTGTGATAATCTTCATTTTTTTCAACAGGTAACAGGTGAAGGTCCCAAATGGAACAAGGTTTGTGGGGGGTAACAGGTGAAGGTCCCAAATGGAACAAGGTTTGTGGAGGGTAACAGGTGAAGGTCCCAAATGGAACAAGGTTTGTGGAGGGTAACAGGTGGGCTTCCATGAATGAATCGTTACATTATGTGAAGGTTTGTTGTGACAAGTTAAAAGACTTTTTCATATTGTAGTGAGTGAGAGGTTAAATATAATATAACCTTCTATACATAAGTAAAAGTTATGTATATTCTCATTCCTACCTCAAGAGGATAAAATGTAAATAAAAAATGCGTCAGCAATCCTTTACAGAAATCAATGTCTTTAATCATAAAATCTAGCATACATTTTCACATGTCTTTACAGGCTCAAATTACTCCACATAGTATCTGGCTCATCGTCTCATTTCATCCATTGGTGGGGCTGCAAATATCACATCCCCAGGGCGTGCCACAACCACAGGTTCAGTACCAAAAAGCGACTTGATAAACGATGGGGTTTTTAAAGGGCGTCGCCCGCTCATTCTCGGATACACATCTTCAAGAAAGTAATAGGCATGACCTGCTACCATTCCCTGTGACATCATAACTCTTCAATAAGAAAGAACACGAAGAATGGTGTTTAAGATCTCCTCACGTAAACTCTCTTCACGTCTACTTAGACAATATTGAGGGCCAGTTTCAACTCACAAATAAAGTCCAGCCCTTGGGGCTCCTCCCAATGGGTCGTGTTCGTTATCTTTAGGGCCACATGAGATTAGTCGAAGTGCATGCAATCTGGCCCGAACACACATGGTTACAAAAAGAACATTCTATTTTGAGGGATCAATCCAAACTCTACTCAGACTAAGCAAATGGGACCCATATCAGATACCATTTCTTCAATGAAGACAATGAAATTGTTGAAATGTTAAATAACCTAAGCAGATAGAACCTAAATCCACTCCTTGCATAACAGTAAAAATGAATTAGAAAAAGATATAACTACGATCTAGAGAGCATATAATAAAAAGGTACAAGGGCAAAGACATGTATTAATTAATATTTCAAAATAATACGAGGGACTTACAAGTAGATCTGCCCAAGCACTTGCACCAACAAGAACAGAGAAGCCCAACAAAACCTGTATTAAACAAACAAGACCATTGAAGTGGATGAACTCAAAATGAAACAGGAAAGAAGAAAGAAGAAAGAAGAGGAGATTAGAGACATATACATTCCATTTATACTTGCACACTCTTCATAATCAATCTCAGTGCAGCACTATCACATTTGATCAAATACAAGAGTAATACTTGCTACCCCCATAACTTCAAAATCTAAAAGACAATTTTGCACTTGTTACATCAAATTTATCATAACAAGATAAAATCTTTTATGGGACAAAGATAAGTATTCAAGTGGACTCTTTTTCGAGAGTACTATGTTCGAGAACTTCATATATTTCTAGGGTAAACCAAACCAAACCAAACCAAATGGACAGACTCCAAATAGAGTAGAGTGGTTGTTTCCAGAAGAACCTCGGCTTGGGAAAAAGTGTTCTTCAAAAAAATTTGGGAAGAGGTGGGTGCTTTTAGTATTTTGTAAAAAAATTGAAGCTTTTAAAAAGTAGAGAAGAACTTGAGACCAAATAGGTACATAACAAAGATTTTTTGGGAGGAAACAAGACTAGTTTACACAAAATGTTTATACAAGTAGGTACAATAGTATGCAGGAAAACAGAACATCTCTTGACCGTCTCACCCTCTACCTCTCCAATCTCCCCTCCTCCTCTTGATATTAACTATACAGGTCCCTTCATATGTTCTTGAACTAGGCTAAATCAACAAATAGAACTATTTTCAGAAGGTCAAAAAACATGATAATATGAGCAACATATTACTTGATTTCGACCTCGAGTTCTTGCCTTAATTTTCCTTCCCTTCTTGAACTCCTCGTTTCTTTCTATCTATGCATATGTGTGTGCTTGAGTTTAGTTTGAGTCAACAAAGAATTGAGAGCATTAATAGTTGAGGCATTTAAATGAGAGAAATTCACAAACCCACAATCCACACATCCATACACAAGACTTTCCACATATTAAAAGTAGGGAACACTTGTGTCTCTACATGCCACATCACTCCTTTAATTTTCCTTAAATCCTCGTATCACCATTCGTAATATATCCTCTTGTATAAAATGCTCAGTATGATTCTGGTCACATTATTGCGACATGCTCATTTTCTATACGCTTTTGACTTTTGATACAATTTTATTGAAAATTTTCTCGGTCACTGAATACTGATTTTGTATTTTTTGTATCTCGTTAGAAAGTAAACTTGGCTTATATTGTTGCCATAGAATCTGACATCCCTAACATCAGGAATACACTTATTTTATTCAATGTTTTCGACGAAACTTAAAATAGAACCCTTCAAGTATTCGAATTTATCTTTCGTCCATAAAACATCTACCCCTAAATTGGGTTGTTACAGGAGTTTCAGGTACAAGCAATCAATATATCTCGAACAACAGTTTAAAATATCTTCCATAATAAGCATGCATATTTCACAAATCTTCTGGTTGACCATGCACAGCGGTAGTGAAAATCTCTTCATATATTATTTAGTCGAATTTATGTTTCGTCCATAAAACATCTATCCCCTAACTCAAGTTGTTAGCTGTTACAGGTTATATTTGTGAAGTATTGACAAGAACTACTAACCCATGGTAAGTAAGCCGCTGTAAAAGTAAAGAGACCCAAGAAGCTCATATGAATAAATGGATTTCTCTTGCTCCAAACATAAACCTGCAAATGGGAACGTAAAATTAGAATTTCATGTTGCTCTGGAACATAGTAGCTTAGTAATGAAAATACAAAACAAGTAGCTACCATCATAAACGTCAATGAATTGCTGAGAAAGATGATTTTGGCAAAAGATTCAGACACGTAAGGTATCATCCCTCCAACAAGTACGATGCCGGTTAAGATAGTAGCACCAAATAAGAGCATATAGAAGAAATCTGCAGTCCTTCCCCTGAAAGAATTTTCTTCAAGAAGCTTGCAGTATCGAGCGAGAAAGAACATGTGAAAAAGGAAGTCCAAATCTGTAACACAAGGAAGTTAGAATGTTAGGGAAATAATTCTTTTGCTTGTAGGGTGCATTTGGTGAGTAGAGAGGACTGGAAGGTCGAGAGTAAGATAGGCGGGTGAAAAAATTGTGAAAGATTATAGGGTTTTAATTGAAATGGGTAGTTCAGTAATTTATCATTTTTTTCCGATCTCCCTAATCTCTTTTTTTTGGAAAAGGGTGACGAAACCCCAAGAGAAAATTTATTGAATCTCCCTAATCTTTGTTCCACCTATTTTGGTGAGACAAAAAAAATGCAGTTTTGTCCCACTCCCTTCCTTGTCCTAGTCTACGTGGAACAGGTTTGTGTTTAGTCGTGTCCCGTGTACCAAACCTATCTTTGGAAACAAAAAGTCGAGCAATTTGTCTAAGAATCGAGTATAAGCTTCTACAATAACAGCTGGAGTAGATACATAGGCAAAAGGAAAAACAGTATTAACGTACATCAAAAATCTTAAAAGAGAGTTTCGGATGAAAAAGTAGAACAAAATGCTCTTCGCAGTAATAGCAAAGCAAAATTTAAGACGAGCATACTATATAGAAATCGATTATAGATGTAACTATTTCATCTTGTTATTGGTGAATCATCGAACACTGAACAGAGATCATACAGTTAATGGATCTAGGAAAAGTCAGGCACTATGTGTGTTAGGAGAAATCAAGAAATGACTTAATTGAAGAGTGACAACTAATACCATCTAAAACATGTGAAAATGATCGAAAAATGAGCGCCACAGGCAAGCAAATTCCGGAAACAGTTCAAAAGACATTCTTACATGGATGGATTTACACATAGTATGTTCATATCCTATGACCAAAAGTTAGTATCGCCATACATGATTCATCATATAAAAGAATATAGAATAAAAAACATTAAAAGGTATCATCTTATTGCAGCTTTTTCTAAGAACATAAACCAAGCATGTGTAGAATGCTTACCCATTTTCCGAAAATAGAGGAAATTAGTGATAAGCCTCCAGATTTGGTATTGCTTAATCACAAGCCTCGGGTTCAGATACAAGTTGTATGGTGAAATGATCTGCAAAAACATTTCACAAGAACCAAGTTCAATAGCTGTTCTGGTTTCCTCAAATAGTTGTTTATTTATGTAACACCTGACAGTTGGAATGGAACCATCATCTGAATGAAAAGAAAGCTAGGAAGCAACTTCATGAATATTCCTGGCAAATAATAAGATGTCTATAAAGACATAATATGTGCTAGAATCAGATCAATCTATTGATCTAGCAACAGACTCCACAAACACAAACATCAAGGAATATATACATAAAAGAATAAAAGCAATTCAGATGGACAAAACCTACAAGAAAACCAGTTAGATGTTCATGAATTCCTTGATCCAATGAACATGCCAAAAAGCGCTAGAGATAACATTGAATTGGTTAAAGCTTAGAACAAATCAATTGCGAATCAATCCTACATAGAGCCCTTCAAACTTTCTGCAAAATCAATTTCTTGTACATACGCAAAGAGAAAAACATATTTTTTCAATTGCCTGCACAAATGCGCGTATGAAAGACAATCAAAAAGTAATACAAATTCAGATATCCCAACATCATTACCATTACCATTACCATTTGATTCTTTCACGAAATCAAACAAGCCAATTGAAGAATACAGATATATAATATTCTCACAACATATAAATCGAATAATCTGAACCCTACAAGCATAAAAAACAAAAACAAAGAATTTAGATGGAATACCTCAAGTGAGCAACCAACGGTGGTAAGAACTGCAGCTGTAAGATAAGAACGAGTTATGACAGGCATCTGCTTGTACCATTCTTCCACAACTTGTGCCATTTCTTCAACCAAACAACAACACTAAACCTAATCTTTTCAAGAACAAGGCGTCAAAGAGCTTGATCAACTTCAAATATTTCTAGAATCAGAACTTGAATATGTAATGTGAACAGGAGCTCAAAGAATCTAGAGAGAGGAACAGATTTCGGAATGCGATAAGGGTACAAGCAGACCTGCACTAAATACAACCTTTCAGAGAAAGTGTCTATTCTAATCTTCAATGGAGGATGATTGTAATTTTGTCCATGAAATATGCGGCTTAATAGCGCGTGAGTTACACAGACCAATAGGAGTTGTTTATAACAGCGCGTCGGTTACGCCAACCGCGGGTTAATGTTGAAAGAAGATAATTGTAAATTTGGCATTGAATTTTCATCCTCCCAGCCTCATCGATCTCGGTGTATCTCCTTATCTATTTATGTATTAAAGTATTTGGTAAAAAGTTTTAAAAATTAATTTTTATGTATAAAGTATTATATATTGATATATATTACTTAAAATTTAATATTATAAGTAATTATGTATAAGTATAACTTATTAAAACTTCATATTTGAATTCGTATAACTAACTGTGGATAAACATAATCAAATACAGTATAAACATCTTATTTTAAAATGTAATTAGAATAACTATTGAGTTCTAACAAAATAATTAATTACTATCTTTATAAGAAAATTATATTATTAAACTAAATATAAATTACTTCGTTATTGAATGTAATTAAATTATAATTAAAAAAATTGAATTAAAAAGTTACACAAAAAATGAGGAATTTTAAATATTTAATTTGATGTTAATATCAATATATTTTTGTCAAATTTTTATGATATCTTCAAATTTATATTTTATTCAAAAATAAAAACATCATCATTTTTTTTTTAAATCACGTAAGACCATATTATAACATTGATTGAGATAAAAAATAAAATGAAATATTAAATTCAAGATGTATCTCGCTGCATGGTGCGAGTACCTTTCTAGTATTATAAAGCATTTGTCAAAAACTCTTAAAAACAATTTTTTATGCATCTTTTATCTATACTACCTTATTAAGCAAATTCACTAAAAGTCTTAAAAGTCTTAAAATTTTAAATGACCAAAATATCATTTACTTTACCTTTACTTTTCAACCCTTCCCTTTTACCCCAAAACGTCGCTTCCTTTACCCGGCTCCCTCCCCCAAGACGACGTTTTAGAAAAAATCGTCCCTCCCAAGAGGACGATTTATACTTCCGGCTCCCAAACACATCGATTCCTTTCCCAAAGACATCGATTCCTTTCTCCCAGGCAACGATTCCTTCTCCAGGCAAGACAACGATGCACGTTCTTGATCCCTTCATCAAGGTTAGTTCTCTATTCTTCTATCAATCTCTACTCTCAATCATCTCCCACTTACTTGAATCTCTCCTCTTCTAAAATCGACTGGAATCGCTCCATTTTAGGTAGCGATTCACTGCTTATCATGGTTAGTTCTCCATTCATTTTATCGATCACTACATCTCTACTATTAATTAATCGCCCATTTACTTGAATCGCTCGTCTTCTAGAATCGAGCTAATTGACCCTTCTACTGGAATCACTCCATTGTTCCTTTGTAATTAGGGTTAGGGTTCTTGTTGATCCTCTCTCTCAGTGATTTGATGATAATCCCTTTTCTCTTTCA